TTTCGGAACTTCCGCAGGTGACCCGGCGGAACTTTCGCGAGTTCTGCGGAAGTTCCGGTCAGTTTTCTAAGAATGCGAACAGATAAAGGAATGCATACGATAGATGTGAAATATTCTGTCAATACTGACGATTTCTCCGAGAAAAAAAAAGAAAAACAAAACTAAAAAGTGCATATTCTTACTTGATGTGACATAAAACGCCCAGAAAGAAAACGACGATACAAAACGAAAGAAAATAACTAACCTTCTCGTTGACGTCGTTCTTCCTCACGCATGATCTCAGCTAATGATGGTGCTGGTGGCGATGTGGCTGGTGATGGTGACACAACACTCTAAATTATGGCATTTTACAAGACAAATACTATATGCCATTTTGTAAGCCAAAAAAGTTCAAAAAACTGAAATCAACCTCGCTCCAAGAAACGCTTCCAGAAGTTCTTCTACGTTGATGTGAAATACTAGCTGGTTTCACAGGAATTGTTTCCTTGTTCACACGCTTCGAAGTTTCCTTTTCTTCTTGCAATATGACGGTTGCAAGCGGAGTGATAGAATTTTGAGGAGATGTCGCTGTGCCAGCCCTGTTAAAACGCGAATTTAGCTTCGAAATCGCTCCGATACAATACTCACCATGGTGCAAAATGTGTGCCTGGTTGGGTCCCCGCAAGTAGTTCGCTAGCATCCCGAAATTTAGTACCCTTAGGCGTAAATCTTCCAGCAGATTTCTTCTTCGATGTTGTCGGCGGCGTAGCATTAGCGTCGAAAATGGGAGATGTCACAGGAGGTGAAACTTGCAAGTCAGGTGCTTTCCAAGCGGGTTTTTGTGGCGCTGTCGATATAATCTCATCTTCTTCGACAATGCTATCTGCACGGGCAGATGAGGATTTGCGCTGCAAACAGCTGTCATGTTGCTAACTTAGCATGTTATGATGCTTATTGCAGTTAATAACAAACAGACTGATCAATTACTATTGATTAAAAGATCATTTCGAAAGTTATCAGGAAAAAACATCAAAACTTATGAAAGATCGGGCAAACTTTGACGATTTCCCTCAGACTTTGCAGTAAACAATGTTCAGACTTTTTACACAAAGCAATGTCACTTCTTGCCAAATATTCACGAGACCGTTAATTTTTGATTATTTAAAAGCACAAACGATTTCCT